ACCCCCCAAACGAACAAATTTTTTTTTCTTGTTTTTTACTTCGGCGGGTAGCCCCCGGCATTCACACCCCCCCACCCCCTCTTGTGTCAGCACCCCCCCGGGAAGGCCGCCAAAACGGCTCGTACGGCCATACATACGACCCGTACGGCCAGCTGGGGGGCCGTACGGACGCCCCGCATTCGTACGGGGTGTTACATAGGTCCTGTGTCCCGAGTTCTCAGTGAGCCTAAAGTCCAGACTGCAGAAGAGGTTGCATAAGCTCTAAGCTTCTTCTTTGTCAGAACCTTTAAACCACCAGTACTTCCTAAGGGCGTGCCCGTTAACGAGCCACAATTTTAGGAAATGTACGGGCCAGTACAGGGGCACCCATATTCATCCGACTAGAAACGTTTCTAGTCTATTTCTTTCCACGGCCGATAGCTGGGCCAAGTACTGGTAGTACTTCAGGTAACCCTGTGGTTGCCCACATACTTGCTTCAACGACATGCATTTATCGAAATAGCTGGCCTCCTTGGACATCTCTCGTAATATGTTGTACACTGGAAACAATCACTTTGTGAAAAGTACACATTTCGTGAGAACTGGACTCTATTCAAAAACTTTATGAGTGTTTTTTTTTTTTTTAATTAGTTTTTAAGGCTCTCACACAACACATGCATTGGCCAACGTCACAAAATTTCAACAAAACATGTTTTTCCCGTCAAGCAACGAAACAAATGCAGCACAAGAAAATGAGAAACATATTATTCACATTACACCGAGGCTTTGTGTTGCTGTGTACAAGAAGATCTATTTTCCTCCATTTCCCGCTCTTGGCTACTTCCGCCATCCGCCGATTTCCCCCTTTGCCCTCCGCCATTGCCCGCTGCCCTCGGCCAGCAGGAGGGGAGTGGAGGAAGGGAGGGAGGAGGGGGGAGTGGCGCAAGGGGGAGCAGCGGAAGGGGGAGGAGCGGCGGATGGGGCAGCGCCGAAGAGGGAGGTTATTGGAGTAGACGGGAGGAGCAGCGGAGAGGGGAGGAGCGGAGGAGAGGGGAGGAGCGGCAGAGGGGGGAGGAACGATGGAGGGGTAGGAGCAGCGGAGGGGGGAGGAGTGGCGGAAGGGGGAGGAGCGGTGGAGGGGCTCCCACTTTCCGTCGTTCGGCCCCCCCGCTCCCCTCTCTGACACTCCCCCCTCTGCTGCTCCCCCCTTCGTTGCTGCCCCGTCCCCTCCTCCGGTCCCCCCTTCCATCGCTCGAACATCCCCCTGCTCGCCCCTCCGTTGGCCCCTCCCCTCCTCCTCCGCTCCTCTGATCCCACCCTCTGCTGCTCCCCGCTCCTCCCTTCCCTTCCGCTCTCCCCTCCTCCACGCTCCCCCCTTAAAGTTTGGCGCTCCCTTCCGCTGCTCCTCTCCCCCCCTCATACGTGATTGATTGATTGATTGATTGATTGATTGATTGATTGATTGATTGATCAGTCCTGCCTGGCTGCCTCTGCGAGGAGATTTCATAATTGAATCGATTACGTAATCGATTCGGTTTCGAAATCGCGTCGCAGAGGCAATTGGACGGGCCTGCTGCTGACTGGCTGTTCAATTGCCTCGGCGACGCGATTTCGAAATAGAATCGATTCAATTTTGAAATTGCGTCGCAGAGGCAACTGGACGGGCCAGTCAGGCAGCTGAGTGGCCTGTCCAGTTGCCTCTGCGATGCGATTTCAAAATCGAACCGATTACGGAGTCGATTCAATTTCAGAATCACATCGAGCGGGCGAAAAAAAAAAAAAAAAAGACCTCCGAAAATTTTGAAAACAATATATGTTGTGCAGCATCTCCATACCAAAACTAGTTGTCTGAGCATCATTACAAACTTCTTATTAAAAACGTGGAACAAAAATAAAAAATGAAAAACAAACCACCTAAAATTCCTAGGTACTTTTTATTTTTCGTTTTGTTTTTTTTCCCACGTTTTGAATATGAATATCGTGCGGGTGCTCAGGCAAATGTTTCTTGTACCGAGATGCTGCACAACATAGTTGTTTTTCAATTTTTTTGGACATTTCCTCTCCTCCCCTCCCCCCCGCCCGCGTGATGGGATTCTGAAATTACCTCTCAGACACGATTCCGAAATAGAATCTATTACGTAATCGAATCAATTTCGAAATTGTGTTGCAGAGGCAACTGGACCGGCTGGTCAGCCAGCTGAATGGTCCATCCAGTTGACTCCGCGACGCGATTTTGAAATCGAATCAATTACGTAATTCTGGTCGCGGAGGCAGCCAGGCGGGACTGATCAGTCAATCAATCAATCAATCAATCAATCACATATGAGGAGGGGGGGAGAGCG